GGGCGCGCCAGCCCCCTGGGCCTCGGCAGTGTGCGGATCGAGTGTCCACCCGTCCGTGGAACAGGCCACACGCGTCGGCCTGACCCAGCCTCTGACTCACCCGACGGGAGGCCAAATAGCAGGAATCCTGCACCGGCTTTTCCCCGCCTCTGGCGATTGTCGGGAAGTCCCTCCCTAAGTCGCACTTGAGGCTTACAGAGGGTTGCTGTTGGGGCCCCTTATAACTGGGACAGCCCTGGGAGGTCCCGATACTGGGCCCGGTGGCGGCTTCTCTTAGGTGAGTGCCCTATGACCCTGGTCCACAGTCCTTGGAAGGGCAGGGCAGGGCAGGGCAGGGCAGGGTGAGACTGCCCTCACCCGCTGGCAGTTCAAGGCCGCTGGGACTCTGGCTGGCACCCCAGAACTACTGAGCTCACTGGGAAGGGTTTCTGTGTCACTGGGTCCCAAGTTCTGGAGGGACAGACCTGGGCCCAGGGGTGCTGCCCCCAGCAGCCACTGCCCAGTCTCCTCCATAGCTGGGGTGACTCAGCCCAGCATCTGTGCCAAGTCCGAAGCAGCTGAGAAGGGGGAAGAGCAGGCAGAGCCCGGAGAGAGCTCCGGAGGGAGGAGGAATCCGTAAGTGGGGGGGAGGGCTTGCCTTTCACTCTTGCTACCACCTGGACAACCTGGAGAACCAGAGACGGGAGGGAACCACTCTTCCCTGACCGAAGCGGGCACACTGGACAGGGTCCTGTCCTGGCGCTGGGGACCACAGACAGGGGCATGTCCAGGGTGCAGAGACCTGGTTGGGGTCTGGGGCTGGGAATGTGAGATGGAGGCAGGGGGAGGCGGTGGGAGCTCCCCAAAGGGCAAACCCAGGTTGGTGCAGCACCAGCCAGGTGGGGTGCAGAGGCCATGGGAGCCTGAAGCCCCTCTCGGTGCCCCACAACAGCCATGGCTCCCAAGCGCAAGCCCCCTGGGCAGTGTGAGGGCCCCGAGGAGAAGAAGGGACGGCAGGGGACAGAGGAGGACAGCTTCCACTCCACTGCTGAGGCCCTCAGGGCTGCACCCGCAGAGAAGCGCGTAGTCCGGGTGGACACTGCGTGTCCACTCAGCTGCAGCCCAGGGGCCCAGGTAAGCTGTAGTCCCCAGCCAGGCCCAGAACCTCCTCCCTCCTAGGTACACGTACACTCGGACTCGCTCCTCTCCCCACCGGGGCTTTGCTCTGGCCACACAGCTCAAGGTTCCCAAGTAATCTATGGTCTCACAAGACCCCAAAGGTCAGGCAGGGCTACATCCCATCAGATCTGGGCAGCTACTCTTAAGACTGCAGGGCAGGCCCCTGAGCTTCTCAGGCCTCCCCCTACCACACTTAAAGCCGGGCACTGACACCCCCCCCAAGTCCACCCAGGGCTCACCTATGTCCCCTCAAACCAGCCCCACAGGGTAAGGCTATGTCCCCGTGGGATCCCTCACAGGCCAGGGTTGTGTCCCTGTGAGACCTCCCAGGGCAGACTCATGTCTCAATTCCCCGACCCAGAGCACAGCCAGGTCCTCCCAGAACCTCCCCCCACTGCCCGAGTTTAGCCATGTCCCCTCAGACTTTGTCCCCTGGGCAGAACTATGCCCCCCTCCAGCCCTCCTAGACAGGGCCTCCTCTGACACCGTAGTGCAGTGAGACCCCTGTTGGGGTGCAGCCGGACACTCCGGCCCACCCTAGGGCAGCCACGCCAGCCTCCCCTGCCCACGCTCCCTGCGCCCAGGTGCATGGAGACTATGACTGCACCCTGAACCAGACCAACATCGGGAACAACAACAACAAATTCTACATCATCCAGCTGCTGGAAGTCGGGGAGCGCTTCGCCTGCTGGAACCGCTGGGGCCGCGTGGTGAGCGCCCACCTGCGCCCGCCTCCCCTCCCCTCCCCGCGGCCTGCTCAGCACAGGCCCCTGCTGCCCAGGGTCCCCGCAGCATGCTCAGGCCCAAAGGCCACAGATGCTGATGCCCGGGCGCTCGGCACAAGGCCTGGCACGACAGAGGCCAGCGGGTGTTACCGCGGGTGGGCACTGAGGTGGGCATGCCCCTAAAGGCTGTCAGTTGCAGGGAGAGGTGGGCCAGTCAAAGCTCAACTACTTCCCGTCACTGGGAGATGCAAAGAAGGATTTTGAGAAGAAATTTCGGGACAAGACCAAGAACAGCTGGGCAGAGCGGGACCACTTTGTGGCCCACCCCGGCAAGTACACACTCATCGAAGTGGAAGGAGAGGGGGAGACACAGGAGGCGGTGATGAAGGTGAGGTGCCTGGGAGAGTGGGAGGCCCTGGGCCCAGGGGGGGAGCCCGCAGACCCAGCCGCCTGGGCTCTGGGCTCCGCCACTGCCAGCTGTGCAACCTCAGGCCCAGACCTCCCCTCTCTGGCCTCCATCTGGCCAGTCTCCGTCTAGTGCCTGGCCCTGCTCCAGCTGCAGGTGCCCTGCCCCGCTGCTCCTGCCCACTACCTGTGCCCTCTGCCCTCTGCCCTCTGCCCTCTGCCCCAGGTGGACGGAGGCCCAGTGAGGACCGTGGCTCAGCAAGTGCAGCCCTGCTCCCTGGACACGGCCACACAGCAGCTCATCACCAACATCTTCAGCAAGGACATGTTCAGTGATGCCATGGCCCTCATGAACCTGGGTGCGGGGCCAGGGGCCAGGCAGGGTGGCGGGGGCCCGGGGGTGGCAGCCGGCTGACCGGCTGAGTCTCCCACTCTCCCCTCACCCCCAGATGTGAAGAAGATGCCCCTGGGAAAGCTGAGCAAGCAGCAGATCGCACGGGGCTTTGAGGCCTTGGAGGCCCTGGAGGTGGCCCTCAAAGCCCCTGAGGACGGTGGCCACAGCCTGGAGGAGCTGTCCTCTCACTTCTACACCGTCATTCCCCACAACTTCGGCCGCAACAGGCCCCCGCCCATCAACTCCCTGGAGCTCCTGCAGGCCAAGAAGGATATGCTGCTGGTGAGGCCGGCGGGTGCGCGGGCAATGGGTACCAACCAACCAGACTGGGCGAGGGAGCCGGGGGACAGGTGGCCGAGCAGGCAGAGAGGTGGACTGTGATGGGCAGACCGAAGGACAGAGAGATGGGGGGGCAAACAGGTGGACAGACCAGTGGGGTGGCCGTGGACACGGTCATGTGGGAGGGAGAGGGGAGGCGGGAGGTCAAGTGGACAGACTAGCTGCCAGTGGCCATCACCTTAGGTGCTGGCGGACATCGAGCTGGCCCAGGCCCTACAGGCAGCCCCCGAGGAGAAGGTGGTGGAGGTGCTGCACCCACTGGACCGGGATTACCAACTACTCAAGTGCCAGCTCCAGCTGCTGGACCCAGAGACGCCCGAGTACAAGGTGGGCTGGGCCCGACAGAGGAGCCGTGCTAATGGTGGGCACTGTCCCTCTGCCCACCTGCCCTCCAGGTGCCCAGAGGAGTCCCTCATCCTTGGCCTTCTCTCCCTGTGCCCCTAGGGCTTGAGGAGAGCTCTGCGACTGGGGGGCCGGTGGGGGTGCATCCGTGTCTCGCCCCTGGTGCCCAGCTTCTGCTCTCCCCGCAGGTGATCCACACCTACTTAAAACAGACTGGCAACAGCTACAGGTGCCCAACTCTTCAGCATGTTTGGAAAGTGAAGCGAGAAGGGGAGGTGAGGGAGCCACTGGAAGCCCTCCGCTGTCCCCGCCCTGACTCAGGGAGGTGGAGGATCTTGGCTTACGTGTCCCTAACTGAACCATCTCAGCAACTCTGAGAGTTTCCACCGGGCCTGGGGCTTGGGACCGTATGCGGGAGGGTGAGGGTGGCCAGCGGGCCCCCGGCCTCGGTGGGACCCTCTGAACCGCAGAGAGAAGCACCTGAGCTGGGGTGGCACGGCTCTCATTTCCCCCTCCCACCCTCAGGAAGACAGATTCCAGGCCCACTCCAAGCTGGGCAATCGGAGGTTACTGTGGCACGGCACCAACGTGGCCGTGGTAGCCGCCATCCTCACCAGCGGGCTACGCATCATGCCCCATTCTGGCGGTCGTGTGGGCAAGGGCATCTACTTTGCCTCGGAGAACAGCAAGTCAGCTGGCTATGGTGAGGCGCCCTTTGGGCCCAGCCCTGGGTGGGCATGGGGATTGGGCCCAGTGTTTACCCAGTTTGCGGAGGACCTGGGAAGGCACCCTTGAATAGTGACCGGCCAGAGCACACAGTGGGGCATCCTGAGGTTTGGGGGGGACTCGGGGACAGCTTCCTAGAAAAGGCCGTGTGGATAGAGCGTGCCAGCCAGGCCTGGGAGGGGCTTAGAGAGGTCCCTTCGAGGTAATGCAACCAGGTGGACAGAGGCCGGGGGGCTGAGGCAGGTGGGGCCCTCCGAGTGGGGCCTGATAGCGAAGCTTAAGCAAAGGCCTGTGTGGCAGGGTCTCGGGGGCTCATCAGGGTCTTATCCAGAGAGCGAGGGGAGCCCATTTGGATGTAGCAGGACCTCCGTGCTGTAGCCATGGGGAGGTGAGAGAGGCTACAGGGAGGCACTGGTCTTGTCAAGCCAGAGGTGATGGGTGCCCAGGCCAGGGAAGCAGGGTGGGGGGGAGGACTCCACGAGAGGGACATGCAGGAGGGGGGATGGCAGCTTTGGGAAAGGGTGGAAGGTGGCTCTGATGACCCCCAAGTTTCTATCCAGAGGCGGCTTCACTGAGGAGACCTCACCAGCCTGGCTCCTCAGCCCAGGCTGACCCCATCATTGGAGGCCACCAGTGCCCACCCACGCTAGACAGCAAGGTCCAAGGGTAGATGGGGCTGAAGTTCTAGGATGTCCAAGGTTGCCAAGGCCAAGGGGTCTGGCAGGAGGGCAGAGGAGCCAAAGGAAGAGTGGAAGGTGGCCTCAGGAGGGCCAGTACATGGGGGTCCCAGGACAGTGGGCGAAGGATGCTAGTGGCAACATCAGCAGAGCGGGCCGGGGAGAAAAGCTCCCGCCCCGGATTTGGTCACTGGGAGGCCCTGACTGACCTTGGCGAGGGCAGCAGGGGTGCAGAGCCTGGCCCCCGGGAGCCCAGGAGTGGGGAGAGATGGGAGGGAGCATGGCCAGAGTGAGGAGTATTTTAAGGATGGAGAAAGAAGGAGCCCCTTTCTGCGACGGGGCAGCAACGTGAGCGGAGAGAGCACGCAGCAAAGAGAGACCCAGGGAGTCAGGCTGGAGGCCCAAGCTGCCCGGCCTGAGCCTCCATGTCCCCCAGTTTCTGGCATGTCCTGTGGGGACCACTGCATTGGCTACATGTTCCTGGGCGAGGTGGCACTGGGCAGGGAGCACCACATCACCACCGACAAGCCCGGCTTGAAGCAGCCGCCCCCTGGCTTCGACAGCGTCATCGCCCGAGGCCGCACGGAGCCCGGTGAGCCCCAGTCCTGAGAAGCTGTGGGGGCCTGCGCATAGAGGGGGGGCTGAGATAAGGGACCCGGATGCTCTCAGGGAGGAGGCGAGCGGAGAAGCGACTGGGGGGGCGGCGGGGGGCGGGAAGCAGGCGTCCTCACTGCAGTCATTCACTTTGTCATTCACCAAATCATTCCTGGGTAGCCAGGAGGGCTTCAAGGAAGAGGTGTCAGTGACTGAGCACCGAAAGAGTAGGTGTTTCCCAGGCAGAGCAACGGGGCGGAGAGTCCAGCCAGGCAGAAGGCCCAGCCCGGGCGGGGGGTCTGGAGGTTGGCAAGGTGGGAAAGCGTGGACACCCCGTGGCAGAAGCGGAGAGCATAGGGGACGGGACTTACCAGTCAGGTCAAGGACGAGTAACCCTTGGGTCACCCCTGGCCCTCGCTGTGCACCGCAGATCCCACCCAGGACACGGAGCTGGAGCTGGCTGGCCAGCGAGTGGTGGTGCCCCAGGGCCAGCCGGTGCTCTGCCCGGAGTTCAGCCACTCCTGCTTCTTCCAGAGCGAGTACCTCATCTACCGGGAGAGCCAGTGCTGCCTGCGCTACCTGCTGGAGGTGCGCCTCTGAGCTGCCCCCGCCCGGCCCGCTGCCGGGACGGCCGGTCTCCACCCCCTGGCCTCTGTCTGGTGCCCCCATCACTGCCTCCTGCTCCACAGTCTCCCCGCTGTGCCCCAGACAGCGATCCCCGCTCCCTCCTATCCCTGGCCCCAGCGTCGAGCCTGCCAAGGTGACGGGCGCGATAGGCCGGCCTTATTACCGCACACGATGCCCGAGCCCATTCAAGGCCGTGTAGCGAGAGGGGCACAGGCTGGGGCGGCCGTCCCCTCGGGCCCAGGCTGCCCACCCGAGAGGTGTGATCGGCAGCGGAGCAGACTCCAGGCACACAGGCCAGCTGATTAAACACTGTGTTCGCTCACCCCCAGGCTCCGTCTGTGCTGCAGCCCCTCAAGCCTGGGACCCCTTGCTCTCCACAGTGCCCCGCCACAGCACACAGCAGTTCAGGCCCCACCTTCACCCCACCCACCCCGGTCCACCCGTGTCCATCACTGCGACGACACCCCCCCTCTGATCACCGAGCCTCACCGTCAACTCAGCACTGTTGGTCATCTGGGGACCCGCCTGGTGATTCTGCCCATTGGCCCAGGCACGACCAGGCCAACCGGGGGTGGCTCCCGCTCGGCATCAGTGTGTCTTACAGCTGCAAATTCTCAACCAGCCGAGCACACCCCCGAGGGGGCCCAGCTCTGCCATCAAGGAAGATGCCTGCTAGCACCCTGGCTCACCCTATCCAGACACGAGGGAGTGGGTGCTGGAGAGCAGGTCAGGACCCAGCCCAGGGTCACGCACAGCATCCGGTCATCACAGCTCTTTAGTCTCCTTTCATCTGAAACCGTTTCTCAGCCTTTTTTTCCTCCCACGATGGGGGCGTCCTTGACACTCCTGAAGAGTGTGGGCCAGTTGTTTTGTAGGACGTCTCTCAGCCTTGGCTTGTCTGATGTTCTGTCATGATTAGACTCAGGTCCTGCAGTCTGAGTGGACACATAGCACACATGACGTCTCCTCGGGGCATCCTGGCAGGAGGGACACGTCCCCTTGTTGGTGATGTGAACTGACTTCGTTTGATTAAGGTGGGGCCGCCGTGCCGGGTCTCCTCGCCACGGTTACCATTCCTCCCATTCCATGCCTCACCATCTGTCGCCCACAGCTTGAAATCCATCGATGATTTTACTTAAATCAGTAACCTGCACCAATTTTTGCCAAGATGGTTGCAAATGGCAGTTCTCCGATTCTATTATTTCTTCTATACTTACTAACATTCTCATTTCTTTATCATCAGTACGGATCTGTGGATTCTTGTTTCATGCCCTGGGTGACAATCCGGGGCTGTCATTTTTTATTTTGAGCCTCAAATTGTCCCTGAGTTGGCCCACGGAAGGTCCTTCGAGCTGACTCCTGTGTCTTCATGATTTCTGAGCACTTCCTATTTTCTGGCATCACCAGATGCTCCCGGCTCGTCGGGCACAGTCCGGGATCAGCCATTTCTCCAAGGAGCCCTAGTTCTCTAGAGTAGGAAATGGTATTTCAAATGCAAGATCTGGGCAGTAGGTATGCTGGTTGGTACTGGGTGTCAATGCTTTTTAAGAAACTAGTAAGTATGGGCGTAGTTCAGTGGTTAGAGCATCGGCCTGGGCACTGGAGGGTTTTGGGTTTCGATTCCCGGTCAAGGGCACATACCTGGGTTGCAGGTTCGAACCCTGCCCCTGGTTAGGGCGTGGGTGGGAGGCAACCAATCGATGTGTCTCTCCCACATTGATGTTTCTCCCTCCCTCCCTCTCTCTCTCTCTCTCCTTTGCCCCTCCCTTCCACTCTAAAAATAAATGGAAAAAATATCCTCACTCCTAGAGGATTAAAAAAAAAAGCTAGGAAGTATGTATATGCAGATAAACAAACACACCTATGTCTATTTCTCCAGTTCTAACCCACGCCGCAGGGCCCTTGCATTCTGGCCCCGTTCCATATTTACACTCCCTTCTCTCACAGTAAGAGTCTTGGTTTCCATCAACATCCACATATTTACTTGTCTGCTCAATCCCACGCAAAAAGGAGACTCGGAATTGCTATACCCACGCCACTGCGAAAAACAAACTGTCTAGGCCGGGCTCGAGATGTTCGGAGTCTTCCGGGAGATTATCCTTTCGTCTTTCGACTGAAATGAGTGCGAGACAGCTGAAGTGTGACTGGGTTCCTTATTTAGTGTCTCCCGTCAGGGTGGTTTCGTTACCCATTTGAAACACAGGTAGGTTCACTTGTTTCTGCTGACGTTCACCTTGGGGGGGGGGGGTCCTCATCCTCAATGACTGATTGATTTTTCAATACACAGAACATTGACATGGTTCCCGAAAGCCCAATCTATACAAAAATGTGTGCTGGGAAGAGTGCTCATCCCCTAGGTCTTTCTCCCCACCCCACCCACCTGCTGTAGGAAGCCAGTTTCTGGTTCGTCCTTCATGTATTTCTTTTTGCAAGTTAAAAAACGAAGAATCAGTTAAACTGAAGTCTTTTAACTTAGTTGAATGATTTTGGAGGAGCATGCGCTCTCCAGCCCACCACAGTCCCCATCCCTCCCTATTGCCATCCCTGGTGCATTTTCTTGCTATTTCCCCGCCAGGCCTTGCTGAGCCCTCCCTAGGCCCTGGTGGCTCAGGGGCTGCCCCAGGCCCGCAGGCCTAACTGGGCAGGGAGAAAGACAATGCCTTATCTTCCCTCTGAACAACAACAAAAGACCTCAAAAATCCAGCTTCACCGCCTAGACGTGAATACCCGCATTGAGGCTGTGGACAGAGCCTAGGAAGCAGGTAGCCTGCGCTCCAGGGACAATTCAGCTGCGTGATCTGGGACACATTCCTTCCCTGTCTGGCGCCAGCTTCCTCATCTGGATAATAGAGAATTGGGCTGGGGTCCTTTATTTATTTTTTAAATATGTCTACTGACTTCAGAGAGAGGGAGGGAGAGGGGGAGAGAAAAACATCAATGATGAGAGTCATTGATCAGCTGCCTCCTACAAGCCCCCCGACTGGGGATCAAGCCCGTAACCAGGGCATGTGCCCTGACCGGGAATCCAACTGCGATCTCCTGGATCATAGGTTGATGCTCAACCGCTGAACCATGCCAGCCGTGCTGGGCTGGGGTCCTTTATATCCCAGCAGAAAGCAAGTCAAACCTGGAGGTCCATGCCCTAGTCCCTACCACCTAGATCTGTACTGATGCTGACCCGTGGTGGGTTTTAGGGCCACAAGGATGAGGAAGACACAGACAAGGCCCCTGCTCTCATGGGGCTTACATTCTAGTAAAACATGCTCTGAACAAGCACATGCATAGATATGAAACATAGTATTGGGTAGGAAAAGTGCCTGGAAGAAAAACAGGGCAAAAGGATTAGTGATGGGACCGTGGAATGATCTCAGAGACAGATGGCCACTGAAGGCCTCTCTCAAGCAGAGACCCGAGTTAGGAGAGGGGCAAGCTGTGGACAGCTCTGAGGGAAGACTGTGCTGACAGAGGAAACAGCAAGTGCAAAGGTCCTGAGGTAGAAACCAGTTTGACATGTGAGAGGACCAGCAAGATGCTTGCTACGGCTGGGAGTAGGGTACGGAAGGAGGGGGGTGAGGTCAGAGAGATGAGAGATTCTATTCTGATGACAGGAAGCTCCTGGAGGGCCGAGAGCAGGGTCATGGCCCGATTAGATTTGTTTTTAGAGGGACCCGCTTCAGCCGCTGTGCAGAGAGTGGACTGTAGGGTGTGTGTCAGTCAAGATCAAGTCAGCAAAGCAGGAGTCACTCTAGGTGTTCCAGACGAGAGGAATCTAATACGGGAAAGGAACCGAACTGCAACGGGGGATGTAAGGCAACCCAGAGATTACCAAAAGCAGAAGTTTTACCACTCAGGTTGGAGCGATGATGCAAGGAGAAGGCATCCCAAAGCCCAGGGACCAGGGTCACCCACAGCGAGAGGGGGCTGCCTGAAGGAGAGAGATGGAGAGCCCCAGGCCGAGCACGAGAGGGGAAATATCCTGGCTTCACCCGCCTTCCACCCTCTACTGTCCTCACTCCAGATGCCAGCTTGTGCCTGCTCTGAGCCCCCTCCAGGGGCACCCCCAGCTCTTTCACAGCACAGCCTCCAGCCTCCAGATGGCAGCTACTAGGACCCAGGGGGCTGGTGCCAGGCCCTGCCCCTCCCTTGCCAACTCCATCTGTAAAGGGCAACATCAGAGTGACAGCCAGTACCATCTCCAGCAGGGGCTGAGCTGCTGGGACAGAGAGAGCCACAGTCCCAGCCTTGCACCCCTCCATGGGGCCCTCCAAGGCCCCAAGAGGATGGGGCCTGGGCAGCAGGGCCAGAGCCTGGGCAGCCTATGAGGTGAGGGGCCAGAGGAGCAAGAGACGGGGTGATGGGAACGGGGGGAGAAGGGGGGACCGCTCCATCTCGCTTTCTGTATCCCGACACAGGGCGAAGCCTGAGCGCTGGATGGCCAACACCACAGGGCTCCGCGCCATAGGGCTCCAGGCCACAGAAGTCTCGGGCTCCGTGGGGTTGATCCTGGCGGCCGTCGTGGAGGCGGCGGCGCTGCTGGGCAACGGCGCGCTGCTGTTCGTGGTGCTGCGCACGCCGGGGCTGCAGGAGGCGCTCTACCTGCTGCACCTGTGCGTCGTGGGCCTGCTGGCGGCCGCCTCCATCATGCCGCT